CCGGATGAACCTCCCACACAGAACGTTGCGTGAGATAAGCCAGGTGCAAGGGGCCCCTGGGTGGCACTGTCGGTTGAGTGTCCGACTTTTGGTTTCAGCTCAGCTCATGATCTCAGGGTCATGGGATCGAGCCACATGATGGGCTCTGCAAACGGTGAGGAGTCTGCTTAAGACTCTCTCCCTCTGCCCCTCCCCACTGCTCACTCACGCTCTGTCTCTCACAAACAAATACAACTTAAAAAAAAAAAGAGTAAACATACTGGATGATTCAATTTATATGAAGTTCAAAAAGAGGCAAAACTAATCTGTGACAGTAGAAATAAGACTAGAAATTACCTTTGGGGGACACTGGGAGGGGTGCATAAGGCACTTCTGGGTGCCGGAAATGTTCTAGATCTTGATCATACGTAGGTACAAACATTGATGTGTGTACTTGACAGCAGCCAGAAAATGTAAATGACTAAAATTATGTGGAGTGTGAGTCTCTGTCGGAAGGTCGGAAGGCTTTTTGGAAGGAAATTATGAAATGATTTTGCTGCTCCTTCTCTCCTGCTCCCACACCCTCACTCACCCCACTCCACAGTCCCTCTCTAAATAGGAACCTCTTGTTCCTCAACATTCCTTTGCTCCACTCCTTTACTCCTTCTTTGGAACCCCTACTATAAGTCAGGCACTATTCTAGAAGCTGAGGGTACAACCCAAATCTCAGCCCTCCTTTGTGCGATAAACAGATACTTAACATCTACTCTGAGGCCCCTCCTCTACCAGCATGGAGCATTTTCTCTCAAGCAGGTCCAAGTGGCAAAGAACTGGACACAGAAACTCTGAGATCCCTTCCAGTCTTCGCTTATGGCTCAAGGAAGGAAAATTGAGCCTACTATGTGCTGGTGTACATTTATTCCTCTACAATGCAGCTCGCGTAGCTGGAAGGCAGGGGTAGAGCTGAAGCCCAGGTGTGTCTGATTCCTACCTCTCTGCCCTTCCCACCGCTCCCACAGCTTCCCCAGGAGCCAGGTCCACCTTGCCCTCCCTCTTGGGCCTCTGCGCAGCCAGCCTCCAAGGCGACTCCCATTGATTCTTGCCCCTAAGTATTCATGTCTTCATATAAGTCCCTCCCACAGCCAATGAGGATGACCCGTACAACCAACAGGATATTGTAAACCTAACAGTGTTTGTCTTCCAAGGTTAGGATATAGAAGACATTGTGGCTACCACCCTGCTCTTTCTTGAGTCACCGCTCTAAGAAAGCCAGCCACGATGTTGTGAGGACACTTATGCAGCCCCATGGAGAGTGCCAGGTGGCAAGAAACTAGGACTCCCTGCCAACAGCCAGCAGCAGCCCACTAGCTACATGCAAGAACCACTTTGGAAGCAACTCCTCCAGCCCCAGTCAGGCCTTCAGATAACTACAGCCCCAGTGGACATCTTGACTGCCACCTCGTGAGAGACCCCAGGCTAGGACCAGCCGGCCAAACCACTCCCAAATTTCTGACCCCTGGAAACTAGCTGAGATAAGAAATGTCTGTTGCTGCTTTCAGCTGCTAAATTTAGGGGCAGACTGTTATATCATATTGCTGTATATATAAATAATATAGTCCCTCTCAGGATGCCTGGGTGGCTTAGTGGTTGAGTGTCTGCCTTTGTCTCAGGGCATGATGCTGGAGTCCTGGGATTGAGTCCTGGATCAGGCTCCCTGCATGGAGCCTGCTTCTCCCTCTGCCTGTGTCTCTGCCTGTGTCTCTGCCTCCCTCTCTCTCTCTCTCTCTCTCTGTCTCTCATGAATAAAAAAAATAAAATATTTTTTAACAAAAAAAATATATATGTATATATATATATAGTCCCTCTCAAATCAGATCCTGGGTTCACGCTGTAAGAACAGTCCGGAAGGTGACATGTTAAGGTGTCCAGAACTAGTCACCCACTATAAGGGTGGCCAGCACGGGCTGAATTTGAGAAGACAGGAGGGGACCCATATCCACGAGAAATTTCCAGTATATGGGAAAAGAGCTGCGAGATAAGAAATCAAGGAAAGCAGAAATCCTGGCATCTTCTTCCCTAGGAACTTCTCACACACTCCATCTATCTCAGCAGATGAAATCACGTGCACCCAGTGACTCTGACCAAAACCCAGGGGGTCATCCTTAGGCCCATTGTCTCTCACACAACCCACATCTCATCCGTCAGCCAAACTCTGGGCTCTACCCCAGAATGTATTCTAGACCTGGCCCCTCCTCACTGCCTTTCCTGCGATCACCATGGAGTTAAGCCACCAGCCTCCTTCACTTGCTCAACACCAGCAGCCTGTTGGCCCATCTCCCTATCCTACCCTCGTACCTGTTCAAAGCCAGAGTAGCCTTCTCAAAACAGAGATCAGATCACATCTCATGTACTCAAAATGCTCCGGAGCTCACTATTCTTCAGTGACACAGCCTTCTTTCAAGCATCGGATAAGCTCATCTCACCTCAGGGCCTTTGCACTTGCTCCTCCATCTTCCAGATCATCGTGTAACATCATCATTTGGATCTCAGGATCTCACCTCACACAATACTTCCTCTGAGAAGTTCTTTCTGGGCCACATTAGCCTAATCACTCCCTAGCCCACTGCTTTGGCTCATTTCCTTCAGAACATGCTTACCTATTTATTGTCTATCTTCCCCAAGAGAATGTCAACCCCATGAGGGCAAACGCCTTATCTGTCTTGTTCACCTAGACCAGCATCTGGCCCATGGAAAGAGCTCAATAAACGTTTGTTTAATGAATCCTGTCTAGAGGGAAGGGGATGGATACGATGACCTGCAGGCTGATCTGGTTATAAAATCCAGAGGACAGAGCTCTGCTGTGTGCTCTGGGGCTCACATCGCCCTCCAGCAGGAGGAAAAGGCAGGGCGGTAGTAAGAGCTGTGGTTTTAGGGGAAACACTTGCCAGCTGGGTGGAGCTCGCACCACCAGTGGGTCCCATTTCCTATAGAAGAAAATCCTCTAAAAAGCTCTTTCTGTCTGGCTGGCCATGCCCCGCCAGTCCACCCCTACCCTCTCGGTCGTCCTCCTGCGGTAGGCAGAGCAGGATTGCCACAGCCCGGTGGATTCTGAGCCCGCAGTAGTCTCAAGAATTGCCAGGCAGGCTATGCCCCCGGACATCACCTTTGGCATCCCTCTGTCATCCTACAGGAGGCTGTTGTATAAGAAAACCTCTTCAGTCGCAGGTCTCTCAGCCCCCATTCACCCAGACTCAGACCATCCACTGCCGGTATATTTACCCCTTATCCTCTCTGAAGGCATCTGCTGCTGCAAGACATGGAAAGCAAAGTGGGGGGCCAGGGGGTGCAGAGAAGGGTTAAGGAACATCTGCAAGATGGGATATTTAGAAGGAAGCACAAAGGCCCAGGGACAAAGTCAGATGAGGAGTGACACTGTGAGACCTTGGGAAAGTCATTCACCCTTTGGGTGCCTCAGTTTCCTTCTTCGTACAACAATGGGATCTTTCAGCCCGTCTCACGCTGTGATGGAATTAAAAAGAATAAAATCAGATAATGCACTGGAGTGCCTTCTAAAGCCCGAAGCGCTGTACAAACACTCATTGTTATTAAGAGAAGCAGGTGCAGAAACGAAGGGAGGAAGGGAGGAGACAGGGGAGGAGCGAGAAAACGCAGCCTCTGGGCTCAGGGTGGAGAAGCTCTGCTTGGATGAAGAGAACAGGAGGGAGATGGAGGGAGAAGCAGACACTCACCCCCCCTCCCCTGAGAGAGTCAGCAAAGCAGTAGGCAATGGGAGGGGCAGCAGCTCTCCAGGTGTGCCCACTGCACCTCTGCTGGGAGGGCACCCCCATCGGGAGTTTGCAGATGGCGAGATGCCCCCAGCAAGCCCGTGGACTTTACTTGGGCAAGGTCACTCGAGAGGAAGTAGATTCCCTCGAAGATCTAGATGCCTGTTCCGTGAGCACCCTCCTCCAAAATAACACTTGGCTCTTGACGCTACCAGTTGATAATAATCAATTTCTATGTTCTGAACACCTACCTTATGTCAGGCACCGGACTGGGCATTTCACACACATTATCCCATGTCGTCTCCTAAGACCCTTTTCTTACTCCCATACCCTTGAGGATGAAACAGAGGCTCAGAGAGGTTCCATGATTTGCCCAAAGTCACCCTCAGTAGATAAAGAAGCAGAGCAGGAGATGCACCAGACAGTGGCCTCAAGTGCTCAGCGCATCCTTTTGAAAGCTGCTCCCTCCTCCTCCCATCCCCTGCAGTCCTTCCTGGACAGCAAAGGCGAGGTGAGAGGGCAGGGAGAAGGTGAGCCATGGTGGGGGGAGTGGAGGGACGTGGGGGACGGTGCAGACCCACAGGTAGGGCCGGGCACTTCCACCTCCAGAGAGCTGAGCCCATCGCACCCAACAGCCTCCCTCCCAAATAAGCCATCATAACCCACTACTCCAAGAAGCCCACGCTCTGTCCAGGCCTGAGAGGCTGCAGCGAGCCTGGCCAACCAGGACCCAGCAGTCCCTCTGGCCTTCTGGCCTCACTCTTCCTCGCCCACCAGAACCAGCCCTGACACACTGACGGGGAAACTGAGGACCAAAGTGCCACCTGGCCAGTAAAGTGAGCGGGCGGTCCCGCAGGCAGGATGGTTTCCCTGACCTCCAACCCCGTGCCCACTTCCCCACCTACCCGGTTTTCCCGCCTTTGGGGCTCCCGCGGCTGGGGCCCCCATCCCCAACCTTCGCAGACGGCCCCTACCGGGCCCACGGGGCTGTGCGGCCCGCGGTCCCTGCAAAGCGTCCCCTCCTCCGCCCCCACCTGGGGACACACCTTCCGAGCCCCCCTCCCTCGGAGCCGGGCTGCCGCCCCCACCCCGGGCCTCGCCTTCACCTTGACCCGAGCCCGCTCCGGGCCGCGGAGCTTTGCATAAACAAAGAGCGGGGCAGGGGACGTCCAGGGGACGCCCAGGGGACGCCCCGCCCCCGCCCCCGCCCCCGCCCCGGGTCCCCGAGCCCCTTACCTTGGCCTGGCATTTCCGATGACAGGAGAAGCTGCAGACTGCGAGAGGGCGAGACACAGAAAGAAAGTTTAGCCGCGAGGTATGAAATGGAAACTCGGCGAAATCTCCTCCCACCCCCGCCCGAACCCGGCGCTGGGAGGGAAGGAGGGAAGGAGGGAGGAGGGGGAGGGGGGAGGAGGGGGAGGGGGAGGAGGGAGGGGCGGCTGCCGCAGCTCCCGGGGCCTGCGGGGCCTGCGGGCTGGGGAGGCGCTGAGCCCCCCATCGCCCGAGCCCCAGGGGTAGGGGTGGGGGAGAAGGTGGGAGGGGGAGAGGGGAGCGACTCCCCCTGGATCCGCGGGGGGCGGGGGGTGTGGCAGAGGTGGCCCAGACCCAGGCCCAGGCCCCGGGCAGCAGCGGCTCCAAGGAATAAGGGCTTGGGGTGGGGGTGGGGGGTCTCCCTTACACACCAGGCAGGCAGGCAGGCAGCCGGCACCCCTGAAGCCATGATCACACTCACTGTCCCCCAGAGAGACACACAGCCCCGACCGGCGTCCAGGAGGGGACCGAGGGGCTCACACATACACAGTTACATCCATACACACTCAGACACCAGCAGCCGCTCTCCCCACACGCACTGCCGGACGTGCACACATACACATATAGAGCCTCATGCCCACACGCACGCCCCCCAAGGGACACCTCTGATTCAGAGGCACCAGCACACACAACTTCACGGGACACCCTCACAGTACAGCCTGACACAGACATGTGGACACAGACATGTGGACAGATGCTTACACAGGCTCGCAGAGTTCTTGTGCATCATTTGAAACACACACACACACACACACACACACAGCCAACTTAACTCTGCCCTCCCACTACCAGAAGCTGGAATCAAATTTCCTATGGGGTTCCCTCAGTCTGGAATGTCCCAGCCCTACCTGCCCCACCCCCAGGGCCCTCCACCCTGGCGTTCAGTGGTCCCCTCCCACCAAGTCCCACAGATGGAGTGAGGGGTCTACTGAGCTGAGCTTCTGCACCCACCTGACCTTGTTAGCTGCCCACGGCCTGCTGAGGGGGGGGGGCGGGTGTTAGGGGCACTGGTTAGAGAGCAGAGGTCCAGGAGGGAGGCAAGCTGCCCCCACCCTAAATCCTTGGCAGTCACAGCCCTGGGCCCCAGTCTACTGCCCTGGCCTCTTGGATCTACAGTTCTTCCAACCCCTTTCTGGCTTTGAGCCAACCTGATTCTCAGCAGAATGCAAAAGGGTAGACTGAGGCACAGATGAAGGCCCAGAGAGGGCTGTCCATCCCAAGTCTTCTGATTGGTCTGTAGGAGTGGAAGCTGGGAGGCACAATGGGTGGAGTCTGGGATGCGACTTGGCCATTGGCCCTGCCTGGGGCCTTGTTCTCCCAGAACCTAGTCCTGGCCTTGGCTCAGGCCTGTGACTCAGCTGGTGCTGAGCAAGGCTTTCCTGACCCCACCAGCCGCCCAGCCCAGCTCACCCCTGGCCACACCAGGACATACCCACCCCTGGCCACCCAAGTCACGTCCTTCTGTCTAGCCTTTCTGCTTCTTGCCCCACACCCGCTACCCCAGGGTGGCAAGTTCCCTGCAGACTCCCCACCCCCACCCCATGCCTTCTTTTCTGGCCTTGGAATGTGGAATTGAGAAAGCCTCGGGCCATGTGGCCTGAGCTCGGAAGGCCCTTCCTGCCAGTTGGACGCCCTACTGGGCCACTACCTCCAAACAGAAGGACCTTTCCCCTTCCTGGCTAATCAAGGCCCGGCCCTGCCTCTGGACGCCTCCCTCACTGTTCCCTACCTCCTGGCAGGTATCACCACACAGCAGGTCCCCCCTCCCCCTGCCACCTTGGTTCCTACAGCTGTGAGCTCCTTCAAAGGAAGACCTTCTCTCTCTCTCTCTCTCTCTCTCTCTCTCCTCTACACACACACACACACACACACCACACCCTACACAATACCTGGTACACAGTAGGGGCTTAATAAATGAGTTGGACCTGACTGAAGATCTCCCCTGGAGTTTATGTGTACCCCCACTTAATCATTCCCACCCCACTCTCAGCCTTTTCCTGAGCCATACCCTGCCCCCAACATTTCATAATCATCAAAAAGGCCTCCCTGGGTGTCCAGTCTGGGCCTCCCAACCCCAGTCTAGACACCAAAAGCACAATGAGAGCCAGGACTCCGTCTTCCTCAAGTATCGTACTCCATACTTCTGACAGTATGGAGTCAGAACACACCGGCCTCTTTCCTGCCTCAGGGCCTTTGCACTTGCTGTTCTGGCTGCCCAAACCATTCTCCCTGACCCCAGCTGTCCATTGTTCACCAAGCCAAATCCCTCTTCTACTTCTAGAACCCACTGAAGTTTGTCTCTCAAAGAGGCTTTTCCTGACCACCTAAGTGACATTAGGCACTTCCAATATTCTTTCCCAACAGCACCCCGATAATTTTCCTCTTACTACAGTTCACAGTCGGAAGTCAACATATGCTCCCTTAGGAACAGTGTATCTCCCTACACCAGACCCAGGAAGGCAAAGAGCGCCCCTGTCTCCTTCACACCATATCCCCAGTAGTAGCTAGAACGGTTTCCCCAACCGCAAATGGCAGCTTTGTGTAAATTAGGAAAAGTCTTACCCTCTGGACAGACCAGCCCCTTGGACACACAGCTGAGTACAGCGTCTTTATGGAAATGGCACGAAAGTGCCCCTTCTGCAGGCGGACCCAGCTCTATACCTGGAGTGTGGCTCGCTCTCGGGCAGGCGCCCTTGGCAGTGAGCGGCCTGCACGGCCATACAGGGCAGCCCTGCCCGTCACACAGTGGGCATGCGCTCAACGAACGCCCTTGGATGGAGGGCAGGTGGGGAAATCGTCGGGCAAATTGCCCTACAGTGAGCCGAGTGCTCCATGCAGGCTGGAATGCCGAGTGTGCCCTTGAACGCTCTCCTGTGGGGAGCCCATGAAGCCCTCCCGAGCCCGCAGCCCCCCAGCCCAGCCCAGAAGACGGAAGCTCAGCAAACTCCACTCAAGTGGCAGGTTCCCAGCAGCTCCGCTGGTGCATTTGTACCCGAGGCGCACCTGCGCCCGCCCCCACGGAGGCCCTGTTGCGCTGAGTGCCCTCCCGGGGCTGTGCCCTCACAGGCTGGGCCATCCCTCTCGGGTCTCCGCCAGGGGGCAGTATTTCCTACTCTCACCAGCAGGTCCCCTGCTGTCGTGTGAAACTCGGGCATGCCACTCTGCGGGCTTCTCACTGCCCAGATCCACGGTACGTTCGAATGCGCTCCAGAAGGGAAACTGTGGCAGCCAGTGTGTCCCGCCTGCTGGTGTGCACGCGCTCCTGCAATCCCTTCCCATGGCCAACAGGGCTGGCTGGTGTACCCAGCTGAATACTTAGAAATGAGGGAGTGTGACCCCTCATCAAAGGCATCGTGGCTTCAGCCCCCGTCTCTGGGGTCGCCAGCTCTGGGGGAAGCCAGTTACCCTGCGGTGAGGACACCCAAGCAGCGCTGCAGACAGGCCCATGTGACGGGCAGCTGAGCACCCCCAGCCCCGCCACCAGCCAAGCGCCACCTTGGCAGGCGCGTGACTGACCCACCTTGCAAGTGGATCCTCCAGCCCCTGTCAGGCTCTCAGATGACTACAACCCCCGGCTGAGGTCCTGACTACGACTCCCGAGAGACCCAGGGTCTAAACCACACCGGAAACCCTGAGCCTCAGAAACTACGTGACATCGTGACTTCATATTGGTTGTAAATTGCTCAGTCTGGGGACAGATCTGGGATGTAGCTAGAGATAACCGACACAGAAACCAGAGCACAGGATCCCTCAGAAAGTGGGAGGCTAAAGGCTGATGCCCGACACTGGGGCCAGAGGCCATCTCCTCGGTCCTTCTCCCCCCCTGAGTACAGGCATGCTCCTTTCTGGAATTCCTTCTTCCCTCTCCTTACCCTAGCACACAATTAGTCATCGCGTCCCAGAAAGTAACTCCAAAAAGGCTGTCAAGGCCCCCCGTCCCTCCCACCAGCTCCTCTCCACTGCCCCAGTTCAGACCAAGTATCCTTCCCGGGGCCCTGTCTCCATCTCCAGCCTCCTCCCCCTTTAATCCACGGAGCCACAGGCCATTCTCAAGTGCAAACTGATCACGTTACACTCCTGCTGACAACTGTCTCATCCAGCTCTTCAGCACACTCACAAGGCCTTTCCTCCACCTCCAGCCCCTGCCCCACAACAGATGTGCCACACTGAGCTCCCCCAAGAGGACATGGAGTCTGGTAGGTCTGAAATGGCAAACTCATATACATCCTCCAAGGCCCCGTTCAAAATGCCCCTCCCTGGATAACCGGGCATCCGAAGATGGTGCCTCCCTCCTTTGTGCCCCCAGTGGGGTCCTGTTCAACCTGGCAGCTCTGCATCCTGCCCCTGCTCCCAGCACAGGGTCTGACCTACAGATGGGGCTTAACAAGTGTGGAAGAAATTTGAAACTGAAAGAATTCTTCCCAGCCTAAACCACGGGGGCTGGGGGCTGGGGGTTGAGGGCCTGGGGCAGACACAGGAGAGGGCGGGTGAGCCCCACTTTTCAGCTCCAGCGCCAGCCGGGAGAGGGCCCGTGTGGACCACGAGCTGGGCTTTCTGGGTGCTTCGGTACTAACGGCCCCCGTGGTCCAGCCGGGTCCGGCTCTCCACCTACCTGCTTCCCTGCCGGCTGCATGTAGACTGGCTCCCAGCTCAGAGGCCCGTCATGCTCCGGGAGCCCGGACAGGTTGCTCAGCCGCTCTGAGCCTCCATTTCCTCAGCTCTAAGACGCGGCCCGTAATAGCATCTGCCTCACAGCGTCCTTGTGACAACTGACGGGCTCTGCAGACCCGGCTGGCCCAGCCTGGGCTGCGTGCAAGGCCGTGGCTGGCGTTATGCCTCCTAGTGGGGGACCCGGTTCTAGCCCCGGGTGCACCATAGGGCTGTGTGACCTGAAGCAAGTCGTCCGCACCCTCTGGTCCCCAGCACGCCCTGCTGTCCACCCACGTTCCCTCAAGGTCCCCTG